GTAATTATGGCAGTATTACAAGTGTTATGCCCTTTCACAGTGTTACACTCAAACTTTAATTAAACAGCTTTATTATTGATGCAGGTAAATAAACAGAAACAAAAACTAAATATAATTACAAGCTGTACAAGCCATTTCTTATCTACACAAAGCTTACTATAGTTAGATGAATTGACATACAGATAATGTTGTCAACAGTAGTTTCTGTGTTATCCTACTCTAAATGGCTAATAGAATTTTTAACTTTTTTATATCTTACTTACAAAGCTGCATTGTTGTTTGTTAGTAAACACAAAGCTACAAAAATGGCTATCTCTGCTCGGTGTACCAGTTTCTATCAGTACAAGTCTGTATACATACCGCTGTGTCACTGAGGGGCTACTTAGAAAGTGAGCAAAATCATAGAAGCTTAGTGACATTCTATTATAGTGACTGGTACTTTTTGTGTATTTTAAAATGCATATATTTCAAGACTATGGGAAATCTTTTTTGAGCATACAAACTTATTAAATTCAATGAGACTGAGAAGAGCAGTTTCAATTTTTACTCCAGTTCAAGGAGCTTAAAAAGCAATGAGTACTACAAAACCTTGTTTGTTTCTTTATGTATTGTTGTATATATTTTTAAAGAAAGGTAACTGAAATATAAACACTCCTCAGCTAGCCTAAAAACTCCAGTCAAACAAAACGTATAAATTTCACAAGCTCAAACTAAAAACTTGGGGAGTGAAGCATAACATGTGCTGTTTATGTTAGGTCTACTGGAAATAGCTAATTTCTTTTGCTGAAATTTATTACTATTGATTCAATGATTAATGACTTGGCGAGTACAAAGTATCATAATAAAACTGTAAAGTTAAAAGATGTGAAAAAGTTAACAGTTGAAATTGTCAAGTAAGTTGCAACTTTCTCATTGATACTGCAGTCAGTGCAGAGGAAAAATGGATATTACTCATTTCATATTTTTCAACTTTTCGTTTCACTTTACATTGATGATTTCTCTATAGTTAGTGTTAGGGTAGAGAATATGAGATATAAAGAAAAAAAGATATTCATTTAAGAAGTTATGCAAATGAAAACTAAGATGAAAGACTTTTTCATTCTTAACTTAAAAATCAACTTTCATTCACATTGACTCAGTAGTCTTTGGAAATTCACGTACAAACTTTTAGCATAAATACTTTATTCAAAATCTTTTTTTTGTGTGTGTGTGAAAAAAAACTTTTAATGCTTGATAAAATATTGCAAGATGTTGTGATTATATACCAAGTAAATTCAGAGTTATAATATATATGAGTTCAGTCCAGTGGACTAGTGTCATTATTATAACATTAGATAAGTTGGTACTTCCAGTTGGGAGTATTTGCCATCCTAACATTTGGTTTTTGTATCTAAAAAAAAATCAACTGAGATAGGTCTGAAATTTGTTAATACTGATTAATCCTGTGACCATCCTCCACTAAGATGCCATGGCAGGGACTGGAGTTGTGCAGAATACTGTAAAAAAAGATACAAAGTGAAAGTTCATAGAACCCTGTACAAACTCTGGACTGGAGAAATTTCCTGTGCAGAGTAAAATCCCCTGAAAAGGCACAGGGTTCAATATTTTTAATGCAGAGTCCCTGGCTATGACATAGACTTGTACTCCAGCTCAGCTTGAATAAGGACGCAATAGATCTTCAGCATAAAACACTTATCTGCTCCCAAAAAAGTGTAAGATAGGATGAAAAGAATGTTTTGTGGCTGTAAAATGTTCAGAATCTATGCAGTGTCATAACCTTCAAGATCAAAAGACAGAAACAAGATGCTTCCTCTTTAGAAAGGCTTCTTTGATTGACATTTCTAGTCAAATGAGATGGTCCGCAGTAGATCACTGTCTGTAAAAACTGCACTTTGTGATGTAGAGGTGGTTGCTTGATTCAAGGAACCAAACAAAATAAACGAAACCCATCATCTCCAGGATTTTACAAAGACAGCTAGTCAAATAAACAGGCATATAATTAGAAATCTTTGGATTCTTCCCAGGCTTAGAAAAAATGATGGCAATAGCTCTATGTCATAAATCTGGATAAATTGAACTTGCATAAGATCGAGAGAGAGATCAAGCAGCATCTCATAATGAATATCATCTGGTTCGACAGATGTATTGCTGGACCAATATATAGCATAATATTAAGCTCCACTGATTGAATGTAGTCATATACATTATCAGAAAAAAATGTGGTGGTGTTCTTTCAGTTATTGTCTTGATGGTCAGGGGGAGGGGGAGGTGCTGAAAAGATGAGAAGCATTATCTAATGTTGTCTGCAATATCTTGTAAATCTGCAACTTATTAGCCACTGGGTTGCAAAAATGAATGGGGATGGAATGTATATTTTCCATTCACCTTTCAAATCTTGTCTAAAACCAATTTGAAACTGATGGTAGAAGAAATGCTGGAAGAGAAATTAGTCCAAGATTCCTTCTGGCTTTGGTATATAAGCTGCATTTACATATGGGCATGAGATGTTTGAAAGGCTGTGATTAGTAATAGTAGTATACTTATGAAAAATTCCTAGGCTTACTATTGAGCCTTCCATGCCCTTTGAAAATCAGGTGTTCACCATGGATGAGAATACCATGAGAAATGTGTCAAGGATTGTAAGGACAGCTGCCTGGAAAACATGATCAATTACTGAATCCATGTAGTCGTTAACATATGGCAGGTTAAAAATGCAAAATCAATCAAGTATTATGAGAGAAATGAAGGCCAGTTGGTTTTCTCTAGATTCCACCATGGTACAAAAGTCAGGCGATGATGACTGCAGCCTTTCTTCCTCAAAATGATGGAAAAAATTATCATTGCTTCATGGATCATTTTCCACCTCCCAAGAAAAACAACAAATGGACAAATCTGTCGCAGTAACATTTTTACTTGGGGCATGGAAGTAGGTGCTTCTTGCAGTATTAAAGAGAGAGAGAGGGTTGAGAACTGAGAGCATAAGCTAAACTGATCAACTCTATCTTTAATGTCTATCACTACAGAGCAAAATGCATCCATTGAAAGCTCTCAGGATAAATAAGTGAGGTGTTAACTGTTCAATAAGATCATTTAGGTCTGATTGATTTTCTCTCCTGAAGATAGGTAAAGAAGAAAGGGGTAATGGTACGACATATATAAGAATGGCCTCCAGACGTGTAGTGAGTGGTACAGAAAACAGGGTGATTGCATGACATATATAAGAATGGCCTCCAGAGGTGTAGTGAGTGGTACAGAAAACAGGATGATGGTACAACATATATAAGAATGGCCACCACAGGTGTAGTGAGTGGTACAGAAAACAGGGTGATGGTACATCATATATAACAATGGCCTCCACAGATGTAGTGAGTGGAACAGAAAACAGAATGGTGGTACAACATATATAACAATGGCCTCCACAGGTGTAGTGAGTGGAACAGAAAACAGGATGGTGGTACGACGTATATAACAATGGCCTCCACAGGTGTAGTGAGTGCAAAAGAAAATAATTTCAAAGATTTTAACCAATCTTCATATGACAACCTTTCCATCCCAGGTGTCATCCTAGTAGCCCTTCTCTGAACCCTTTCCAACAATTCAATGTCCATTCTAAAGTAAGGAACCAAAGCCTGAACACAACTGTCCAAATGTGGTCTAACCAGTGATGGACCTCTACAACGAAATTACAAACTCTTTAGATTTGTATTCAATATTTCTGAAGATACAAGGAAAATCCCATTTGCCATACCACTAACAACAGTTTGTTTGTTTATTTGAAGTTAAGCACAAAGCTACAGAATGGGCTATCTGTGCTCTGCCCACCACGGGTATCAAAACCTAGTTTCTAAAGATGTAAGTCCACAGACATACCGCTGTGCCATTAACAACAGCACACTGCTTGGATGGCTTTAGAGACTGATCGACTATTACACCAAGATCCTTTTCCTTCATAACACTATCAAGGTTATTCCCATCCAAATTATACTTATAATTCAAATTATGATAACCCACAAGCATTATCTTGCATTTATTATGATTAAAACCCATCTACCATTTATTTGCCCAACTCACTAAATGATCTAAATCACAGTATACTGTGTTTACCATATAGACCATGTCCCTTTATATTTGTATATTAAGTTAATAGGGTTCAAATGAGGCCCTGTGTTTTATGTACTACAGATAGTTTTATACCATGTTGATAACATAACTTTTATGTTCAGAATACTTTGTTCACCATATAGACCTTGTCTCATATTAAATTTTTGTAAGGAGTTAATACAGTTCAGATGTGACCCATGTGTTTTATAATGGGTCCTTATTTACAAGGAAGTACCATGTCACAAACAGTATTTGCCAAATGATCTAAATATTTTTGTAAAGCAGCAGCATTCTCCCACATCTAGGAATGCCCTAAATTTTAGTAGTACAGCAAATTAAAATAACCTATTGACAATTTATCCATCTATATAAATCAAGCCAATTTTCACTTTGATAAACCAGCTTATCCCCTACAAGATAATTTTTCAACAAATCTTTTATCTGGCACCTTGTCAAATGCTTTCTGAAAATCCAGATACATGTAATTCACAACCTTACGCTCATTTACATAAGCAGAAACCTCATCAAAGAATGTCAAAAGATTAGTAATAAAAGGTTTTTCATCACTAGTGAAACCAAGTTACTATTCAATAAAATTCTGTAAAATTTGTTAAATAACTGTATGAAGCATCTTTCTTCCGACTTTCAAAAATTTTCCCATTGCTGGTGAAGACTAATAGACTTATAATTACTGGAACAATTGTTATCACCTCCCTTGAAATATTAACCACAGAAAATAATTCACAAAAATGTGAATATATATATAGCTAACTTTAACATTCTTCAGAAGCAACAACAAAATCTTAACATTTTTTTTGGAGGCCAAAGCAAATATTAAAAAAATTCCCAAGTAAATTGTGTCAATCTTTGCCTTTAAGTTACTGGAAAATACACCTCAATCAATGCATAACATTTTATTTAAACACTTAGTACCAATTCTAAAAATAGGTTTCTTTTTTCACAATACAAGAAATCAAGTACATCGGTAAGTGAGACTGTATGTTAAAAAAATATAGACTGTGTAACCTTGCAATGAATTCATGTTCTTCCTTCTGTCTTCATACGATCTCTTTAAATTTTTTAAGGTGCTCCCTACTGATAATTACTCGCTGAATCTGGGAGGTCCCCTCATATATCTAAGATAGAATAAAAAAGAAATCAGTACACAGAAAATGTTATATGCTCTTATAAAACACACAAAAAAATAAAATATAAGAGTTTACACAAACCAAATACAACATGATTCAAAATTTTAACTGTTTACACAAACCAAATAAAACATGATTCAAAAACTTAACTGTTTACACAAACCAAATACAACATGATTCAAAAACTTAACTGTTTACACAAACCAAATACAACATGATTCAAAAACTTAACTGTTTACACAAACCAAATACAACATGATTCAAAATTTTAACTGTTTACACAAACCAAATACAACATGATTCAAAATTTTAACTGTTTACACAAACCAAATACAACATCATTCAAAAATTTAACTGTTTACACAAACCAAATACAACATGATTCAAAAATTTAACTGTTTACACAAACCAAATACAACATGATTCAAAAATTTAACTGTTTACACAAACCAAATACAACATGATTCAAAAATTTAACTGTTTACACAAACCAAATACAACATGATTCAAAAATTTAACTGTTTATACAAACCAAATACAACATGGTTCAAAAATTTAACTGTTAACACAAACCAAATACAACATGATTTAAAAACTTAACTATTTATACAAACTAAATGCAACATGATTCAAAAAATTATTTTTTAAACACGTGCAATGTTTCGACCAAAATTTCGCTTTGTATGTAATAATAAATACAAATGGTCATATTTTTGTGAGATAAATGGCTAAAGAACATAAAAATTAAAGAAAATAAATGAAATCATAGATTTATTATATAGTTCATCCCCCCACCCTTAACAGTAATTGCAATACCTCTGTATAAACAACATTTTTGGTTTCTTGTGGATTCTCACTGTCACTTTTGTTGCATATGTTTTGATGCTTGTAAGTGACAATCAGAATTGCTTTTCTTTTTCCTGACATTTTTTTCTGAGGCACATAATCAGCATCAGAAATGTTTATCATACCTAACTCTCTTCTCTCTTCCCAAAATAAAGTGAATAAAAAACCAATTTATTTATGCATAATTTCATGGGTTCAACTTATCTATTCTATACAAAAAGTTAGTCTTGTTTGTCTATAGACACAACAGTGTTTGATGGGTTTTATTCTGACACCACAACAGCAGCACACATCTCTATATATACACACATTTTTTTGATGTTATTTCCACTTAAATGAGACCACAAATCTGGTCCATCTTCTGTGGAAAAAATTATGTTTCAAAACTTTCAATGACACTAAAACTTTGACATCACAGACATTAAACTTACTATTACAGGGACTGAAAGTGCAAACACACACACACAAACTTAGTTTGAAGAAAGTTTTGAATCATTCATATCTCCTTCAATTTTTTTTTGAAATAAGGTTTTTTTTTCACTGTAGAGGTAATAATGACTTTTATTAAAAATATTTTTTATCAATGTGAAAATCAAAAATTTTATTTGTTCACACACAATCACTGAAAAAACTCTTAAATGATAAAAATATAAAAATCCAATTTTTACTACAACTTTTTGATCTATATACATATATTTTGAAAAGTATTTTAGAAACAAATGAAAAAACATTTAAATATAATCATTTCCACCAATAATATGAATTATAACACTTTTATGTGTGTTTTTTAACCTGTTGTTACAAAACTGTTATTGTTTTAAATTATTGGCATTAATGATAATATGAATTGTAACACTTTTAAGTGTGGTTTCTTTTTAAAAAAATGCAAAACAATATCAGTTTTATGACAACATGTTTTTAAAAAACGTTGTATGGAATAAAACCTAAACTCTTCTTCGGCCCTTGATTTAACAAGCACTCTCTCAGCTAGCCAAACTACTCAAGTTACAGTGTAATTTAAAATCACAGACAATATTTAGAAACTTACACAAACACAGCATTGATGTGGTTTTATTGTAAAATTAAACCTTTAATTTTAACAATGTATTATTTGAAGTATGAAATATTCCTTGTTTTTTCTCCACATAATACCTATAATTGTATTTCTCTTATGTTTATTATATTGAAGCAATCGATTTATATTCTATATTCATCATAATTCTATGTATTCAATAACTTTAATACCAGATGTCAGTTATTGTTACTACTGTTACCTAGATACCTATTTTAAGAGAGTTTATCACCCAGTACACTGTTGCCTGATGAAGATTCCAGTAATAGGGCCAAAAGTTCACAAATAAAAAAAAAGTATTTCAATGTAGAGAAAAGTCCATGTATGATAAAAAATAATACCCAGGTGCACACCCTTAGCATTCTCTCAGTATCTGTACAAAGTTTCAGGTCTCTCTAAGTTCTTTCCTCTTGGATCTATAGCACTGACTGGCTTACACACAAACACACAGGTTGTAATATTAGTATAGAATTATAGTAAGGGCTTGGCTTTTTTTGCAGCTTCTGGTAGAGAAGAATATGAGAATTCTTGAACAGAGGATATTGTACAACAACAAACTTTCTTGAATATAATTACAAAAGGGGATGCCTGTATAGATGGGGATTATCTAACAGAATCAGGAAAGGAGTTGGATGGAACACAGTACAACTGAAGGATACTGGCACAGAAGTTGTGTCAAGAACTGCTACTCCTACGAGAAAGTAATGACATAGTTGCAATGTTGGATGCATGACCCAATGTTCCTGCAACAATAATGTGATAGGTAACTTAATCACTTCAAAACTGGGACTAAACCCAACCCTTGAAACCTCAAAAATAGTTGTAATGTAAGCGATGACAACAGAAAGCCTATCAATCCAGACAACAGTCTGAAGTTAACCCAGCCTAATTCATCACTGTAACAAGTCTACTCTCTTTCCCCTTCATTGTAGGTTGTATTTTCTTGTCAAGTTCAAAAATTGAAATGCTTTGCCATTAGACAATGAGTTTATAGTTTGTAAATGACTATTATAAGTAGTTAACAAAAGTATTTTAGAGTAAAAGTTTTTATTAGGGGTTGTCATCATATCAAGATAATGTAACAAAAACGTGCATATTTTGGTATTAAAAATGTCTTAGGCTCAATTCCTTATTTCATGTAAATTTTCCTTCTGTTGGGGATACGGGTCCCATTGTCACTAACTGCACATTCCTGGTATTTAATAAATACTATTTGTGCCATGGTACTTCCCTGTAAATAAGGACCCATTATAAAACACATGGGTCACATCTGAACTGTATTAACTCCTTACAAAAATTTAACATAAGACAAGGTCTATATGGT